CGCAGCCATGGAAAACAAACTTATGGTTACCAAAGGGGAAAGGGAAGGGGGAGGGATAAATTAGGAGTTTGGGATGAACATACACGCACTACTATATATAAGATAGATAACCGACAAGGACCTACTGTATAGCACAGGGAACTCCACTCAATATTCTGTGATAACCTATATGAGAAAAGAATCTAAAAAAGAGTGAATATCTGTATACGTATAACAATCACTTTACTGTACACCTGAAACTCGCACAACATTGTAAGTCAACTATACTCCAATTAAAAAAAAAAGATGCGAACTCAATTCTGAATGACCCCTTTAACTATAATACATTACTTCTTCCATCGAGTGTCCATTTGTCATGGGGCACGTCCCTCACCTTCTCTGAACTCCTATTTCTGCATTTAAGATGCAGAGTGGAGCTCACACACCCCATGGGATTGGATGAGATATACTTGAAATTATGTACGGAAGAGGGATTTGTTAGCTAATAAAGTGTAAATACAGATTCGTTTTTTCATCTGCTATTCTGTTTTCCTGGGTGCTTGCAGATATGGAGATATATTGGTCAACTGTAAAGATATAATTGCCAAAAGTAATAATAGAAAAGATAGGTTTTGGGGAGGACTTCTAACTGTTCCTTAAAAGGAAAGGGGGCTGTGATCATCATTAACGGTTGAGAGGAAATGACGCAGCGTAGTTCAAGTTTAAATATATCAGTTCTCACATGATAAACTTCCTCTGAACAATTAGGCCACTGCCTTCTATTCCATATTTTAAAAATTATTATTCTGGGAGATTGGGATTGACATATATACACTAATATGTATAAAATAGATAACTAATAAGAACCTGCTGTATAAAAAAAATTTTTTTTATTCTGAAATAATCAACAGCCACCTCTAGTACCATGAACAAAAGTTGCCTCCTCTTGAATTAGAAGCTACTCTGGTAAAAGAGGTGCAGAATTTTCTCTAGAGAACAATGGCTGCTTCCCTCAATTTTGCAAAGTTCAGCACAGACTCCCGAGTCAGAGGAGCAGCTTGTTTCTCGCTTTAACTAATGGAACCGTCATCAGAAGGCCTCATGCTCTGCGAGTTGTCCGGCCTTACAGTGTCACTGAGGTCAGGTAAACACTATTTCTCTCGAGCTGTTCCTCTTTCCCTTTGGGGTTTTGAGACGATTTCTACTCCCCACACAAAAGCAGTCATGCCCTGTGCTCCGACACTATTTCCAGTTTCTCCGATGAGCTCAGGTGTCTTTCTCCTGTAACACGAGACTGGGGCGGGGCTGGAGCAGGAACTAAGAGGCCATCAATCCTGCGCTGAATACATTCTTGGTGGAATAGAGTCTGGGATGATAGCAAAAGGCACACAGAAGCCCAGTTTGTGCAGAGAAGCAAAGGCAGCAGGGTGTTTTATCCAAAAGCATTTTGTCACTTCTTTTTTTCCTGTTGGGCAGTCTGATACCTAATTGAGCTGTCTAGCATCAAAGGGCTACTCGTGGGGGGAAAACAAAGGGAATTAAAGGGTTTCAAGAAAACCATTATTACTTAAATAAAAATTAAAAACACAAAAGAAAGAAAAAAAGAAAAAGAAAACCATTACTTAGTCCACAAAGGCTCACCAACACTGACTATGCACGTAATTGTGGCAGGAGGGAGGTTGAGCTCTGTTACTGCCTGCAACGATGACTTCAGATTTCCTACACCGTTACAAGACAAGATTGTAAATGGTCTTATATTATCGAAAATCGACTCACCAGCGTGAGCGACAGAGCTATCAAGGAGACAGTCCCTGGTGAGCCAGAAGCAGCAATAGCTCTTTTCATAAACTGTCATGTAGCAATAATAGGCTGCGCTGCTGATTCTCTAAGAAGCAATTACGCAGCTCACGTCTAATTTCTGTGTTATAAGAAAAGGGAATGTATGTGGGCAAAGGAGGCAAGAATCCTATCAAATATGACTTTAGACCACATTATTATAAAACTGTTCCCCTTTTCACAGAAGAGCAGACATTTTAACAGCATTATCTCCACAAAAAATGGGAATTCAGGAAAAAAAATTATGATATTGGTGGAAAGGAAAAGGGTTCATTTAAGGGATGGTACATGTTTAAGAAAGCACAACTCACGAAACATTGCTTCTATTTACTGACCTTTTCACTTTGGATGGTTTCCTTGAAAAAGCCACACTTTGTGAAATCATTCGTTTAAAATCTGCCATTGCGGGGCTTCCCTGGTGGCGCAGTGGTTAAGAATCCGCCTGCCAATGCAGGGGACCCGGGTTCTAGCTCTGGTCCAGGAAGATCCCACATGCTGCGGAGCAACTAAGCCCGTGTGCCGCAACTACTGAGCCTGCGAGCCACAACTACTGAGCCCACATGCCACAACTACTGAGCCCACATGCCACAACTACTGAAGCCCGCGCGTCTAGAGCCCGTGTTCCACAACAAGAGAAGCCACCGCAATGAGAAGCCCGTGCACCGCAACGACGAGTAGCCCCCGCTCTCCCTAACTAGAGAAAGCCCGTGCGCAGCAACGAAGACCCAACGCAGCCAACAAATAAATAAATAAATATACTAAAAAGAAACAAACAAACAAAAAAACTGCCATTGCCACTCAGAGTGGGGTGGTTCACGATCAGAGTGGGGCGGTGGTCTGAGGGTTTCCTGACAGTCGTTTGTGTAAAAGGGCCAAGAGCTGCACCAATTCATAAGGGCTGCACCCTCATGACCTAATCACCCTCAACCCAGCAAGGCTTACCTGGGCATCAAGGCCCAGGAAGGAACACAAGATTACCTTGGCCAGCCACCATCTGAGTTGGCTTCCTTCCCCGTGATGAGCCCACTGCAGGGCTGCATCTACATTACGCTCAGCGTCTCCAGAGAACAGCTTCTAATCAGGACGTCTTTCTTCCTGTAGAACCCAAGCCCACTGCCCTCCCCACTGCCGCATCCTGCCCCACCACCTCTGTAAGACAGAACGTTAGGGTCTCTCATAAAATGACCTTTGAACACGACACACCTTTGCTGAGCTAACCATCCTAATTCGTTCCTGAAATCCTTCCTCCCACAGTCACCAACTACCTGCAGTGACCCCACTTGGCAGGGATTCTTTGCCCATCGTGGTGCTTCCGCTGGTGGGTCACTCAGTTGCTGCCCGTTTGAGAGGAATCCTCCCCAACCCAACTCCCACTTTTGAACCCAGTAGTGGATTCTGAATGACACAGCAGAATGATGGCTTCCGTCATTCCACACCCGCCCCCCCTCAGCTCTGCCTCTGTCTGGCTGTGGGACATAGGGCAGGTTACTTAACCTCTGTTTGCTTTATTTTCCTTGTATGTAGAACATGGGAAAAGCAACAGTTTCTACCCATCGGGGAAGTGAGGACTAAAGAAGTTAACAAGCACAAAGTGTCCGTATGCCTGGCAGACAAGAAGCCCTCCTTGGCTTAAAGTTATCATCGTGTTCTTCATGATGTAACTCTAGGCTCAAGACTAACAGAATTTGTGAGGGATGAAGGAACCAGAGAAGCCACCAGTTTGAAGCCTGAGCACTCTGGCAACCAGGGACTCCCTATGAGGACAAATCCAACAGCCAGAGCTGGAGCCAGCAAATCCAGAGTGGAGATGTTTGGGTGGCAGCAAAGATGAACCAAGAAGAGTGAGGTCCCGAGAAGTTCAGATATTCTGACTGAACCCTCATTATCCAGCTGTGCTTAAAAAATATACTAGACAATCCAGCAACTCCTCTTCAGCGTATATGCCCAAAAGAACTGGAAGCAGTTTTACACACATGTTCACAGCAGCATTATTTATAATAGCCAAGAAGTGGAAGCAACCCAAGTGGCCACTGACAGATGAATGGATAGCAAAAAAGTGGCATAAACATACAATGGACTGTTGTTCAGCCTTAAGAAGGAAAGAAGTTCTGACATATGCAATAACATGGGTGAACCTTGAGGACATTATGCTAAGTGCGTGCTACGGACTGAATGTTTGTCTCCCCCCAGATTGGTATGTTGGAGCCTAATTTCCAATGGGATGACATGTCAGCATCTGAGGCCTTTGGGAGTGATTAGGTTGATGTCATTAGGAGATGGGGCTCTGGTGTGATTAGGTCATGTGGGTGCACCCCTCATGAATGGGATTAGCGCTCTTATAAAAAGATAACCTAGAGAGATCCCTCCCCACTTCCACCATATGAGGATACAGTGAGAAGACTCCCATCTATGAAATAAGAAGCAGGCCCTCATCAGACATCGAATCTGCTGATGCCCTGATCTTAGACTTCCTAGCCTCCAAAACTATGGGTAATAAATGTGTTGTTTATAAGCCACCCAGTACTACGGTATTCCTTATAGCAGCCTGAAAAGACTGAGACAGTGAATAAGCCAGTCAAAAAAGGGACAAACTTTATGGCTTACTGGTATGAAATAGCCAGCAACAGAGGAGGAGAAATGGGGAGTTAGTGTTTAACGGGCACAGAGTTTCGATTTTGCAATTTGAAAAGACCTATGGAGAAGGACGGTGGTTGCACAGCAATGTGGAGCTACTTAACACTAGTGAGCTATTCACCTAAAAACGGTAAAGATGGTCAATTTTATGTTATGATGTATTTTACCACAATTCAAAAAATTTTAAAAACGTACTAGGCATAGCTCAAGAAAACCATGGTGCAAATGGGCTATAGCAGAAACAGACAAGGAAAATACTGCCCGTGATATCCCATGCCTTATGAAGTTGCTCAAAAGTCTTGCTCCTGTGCAAACCCTGTTGAACCCTGTACTCCAAAACCCCTCTGCGCTGAGTGTAGAGCACAGGCTTGGGGGCAAGGAGCTGGGGCCCCTTAGCAATAGGACCTCGTCAGATGGCTTAACCTCTTTAACCTTCGGTTTCCTTATCTGCAGAGCTGTTGTGACAACCCACGTGAAGCTCTCGGCACTGGCCTGGCATACGGTTAAGGTGCAAGACCGTCAGGCACTATTATCATTGTGTTGGATCTTACCTGCACATCATACAGGAATTGGAAACGACTCTTTTTACTTGCAGCTTCTCTCACAGCCTGAGCCAGGTCCACCGACCCTTTCCCACCAATCGACCAGTGATAGCAGGGCACTGCATTAAAGGCGCCAGCCCGCTTTGCAAGCTCACACACCAAGTCAATCTCCGCTCGGGTGTCGGTCCTGGTGATGAAAACGTTTCTGGTTTTGCATCTGTATTCATTTAGTGATGTTTTTAAAGAAAGACTAACTGCTTATACAGAACTTTGCTCCCAAACACTGAATATATTTTAAACATCAAAAGTGGTTACACTGTGCTTAAATAAATCAGACCTTAAGAAAAGCATGGGGGAAAAATCCTCTCAAACATGACTCAAATATTTCAAGTTGTTAAGGGTTTTATTGAGAAAATTCCATAACATATCCCTTTGATCATCCACAGTCTTTCCGTCAGAAATGCTGGGTGGAATTAAGAAGAAGAAGAAGAAGAAGAAAAAAAAAGCCAAAGAAATGGTAACTCACTATATAGATTTCACTTCTCTGATAACATTTGAAAACACTTCTGCTAAAGTAAAACCAATTCAAAGAAAATCAAACAAATAGAATGAGCAGAGTATTTCTCTGTCCTTTTAGATGAAGCAGAGAAAAGGTCAAACATCCTCAAAACACAAATGCAGTTGGTTCACAGGGTGGCCCAGCGATATGACCACATTTAAAGTAGGACACTTGACTTACCTGAAGACATTCAGAGCCACGACAACAGGGACCCCGAAGAGCTGAGCAATCTGAATTTGCTTCTCTAGGTTACAGCAGCCATCTGCCACCAGCTGGAGGTTCTGTAAGAAAACCAGGCCCCCATGTATCACCTCCCATCCAACCTGCCAAACTACACAGGCAGGCCCGCTCTGGCAGGTTTTGGGTCTATCTACACTCACATTATTGTCCTGGAAGCTATTAAAGAAAGCCATCAATCATTTTTTCCCTCCAAGAAAAGATGGCTGCAGAAGGAGGAGGCTCATTTTCCAAGTAAAGTCTAAAATTATTCTAGATCCAATGGCCTATGTGGGTCTTGAGCCAGGAAGTTATTTCTGCTGCACACTGGTGGCCAGGACGTCAGCAACATGCCCACGCTCTGTGGGCTGGTGGACAAGAAGGCGTAAGGTCCTGGGAGGGTGACCAGCACCGTCCAGCTAGCTATTCCCTGCTCAAATCCCTGGCGCCACCTGTAGGAGCTAAGAGGTACTGTTGCCAGTCAATCAAAGTCTATTTACTCACGCAAGTCATAAAGCCAATTGTGTATCTTCCAAAAGTCAGTATCTGCCACATCAAAAGAATACATGGGTATAAGAGGTCTGCTCTGATGGCTGCCCAGCGGGTAGGAACTGGACAGAAAGCCTACACCCATCTTTTCTTAAGATTGGAGAGTTAACCGAATGGATTTTATCCCTTCGCCCACCCATTTCCTCTTGGATTATTAGAAAAGCACTTTTCTAAGAGGCCACTGGTGGAGGACCTATTCCCTGACTGAGATTCAACTGCTAGTCAATGGTTAACTGGATTTGAATAATTCTTCACTCTTACCTCTTCCGTATACTCTTTTTTAAGAGGGACCCCAGCAGTTACCTGAGATAAGAAAAGACAAAAATTAAGAATAATCCTATCAAACTGTTTACTCTGATTAAGATCTGAAAGAAAAACAAATCATGGTCCCTTTTGGGAAGCTTCATTTAAAAAACACATTTTGTGCTTTTAAACCAATAACTGGCAGCCCTGGCTGAACGTAAAGTCTTGTGGGTGCTTTTAAAACTCACTGTTGCTTGAGCTCCACCCCGACCAATTAAACCAGGATTGCTGGGAGTGGGACCCAGGATCAGTGATGGTTAAAAATTTCTCAGGCGATTCTAATTTGAGCTAATATTAAGAACTTTCATACTGTTGCCCATTATCCCAGCATAAAAGGGAACTCACAGTATGATTAATACCTGATTTATACAGAGTGCATAATCGTTCTAAATAAATTCTAAGTCATTTAAAAATAATTGCCACGAATTTTTCCCTTTTTTTGGCCTAGTTTCTTACAGAAGCCGATGGGGTTGGCAGTTTAAAGATAAGGAAACTGAAGGTGAGAGAAGGCAGGTATCTTGCCCACAGTTACACAGCAAATGAGAGGCAGAACAGGGGCATGAGTATAATAGGGTTCTGAAACCCCATTTTAGTGCCTTTTCACAGTTCCCCATTTTTTTCTTTTTTTTTGTCTATAGCCTGCAACTGGTTTCAGTGAGAAACCCTAGACAACATTTTAATTCACTGAGGACGTGGTGACTTGTTCTCCTCTCAGCGAAAGAGGTCTTGAGAATATTAGAAATCCTTTGAAAAGTTACCTCTATGACAGATTGTTTTTTGAGATTGTGAGGAAACATCATAAGGTATTTTCAGATGGGTTTTTTTTCAGCATTAGCATAAACTAAAACACACAGTGGACCCTTCAGTTGGAACAACCAAAATGCTGGGTTAAAAAAGGAACATAAAGTACTGCTGAGCATGAACATAAGCAAAGTTCTGCAAAATCAAAAATTAGGCAAAATCAAGAAAAATGGGTTGTATGCAAATGCCAGAAAGTAGAGGGGATCAACAAAACCAAAGCTGGTTCTTTAAGACTAACAAAATTGATAATATTCTGGCAAGAGTTTTTTTAAAAAGGAATGAAAAAAATATACCTACACATGCTGTAGACAGAATTAATAGGATACTGGGACAAACTTTATACCAATACTTTTTAAAAGATAGAGAAACTTAGTATGAGTTTTAATATAAAACTCATTTAGGAAAAAGTAGAGAACTTAAACAGTTCTCTACTCATTAAAAAAAATTAAGTTTGTAGTTAAAAACCTACCCCTCACCAATAAGCAACAGGCCCAGGGAGTGTTACAGGTGACTTCTTCCCATCTTTGAATAAATAGGTTATTCTAATGTTACAAAATCCCTTAATGAGAATATAAAAGAGAATCAATAAGCAAAATTCAGTTATTCATAAAAAAGATAATGAAAGGTTCATTTAGTATTTGTAATATAATTTGCAACATTAATAAAGAGAAAAATCATGTCACCTCAATAGACGAAGAAGATTACTCAACATATAGTATAACAACTTGACAAATAGCAACAGAAGGCAATTTTCTTAACCTGATAAAAAACATATACTGAAATATTTAAGAAAACATATTTAGCGATGAACTATTAAACGTGTTCTCTTGTTGATAAGGAATAACAGTAGGATGCTGGCTATCAACACTATTTAATACTGCACTGCAACTAGAAACATATGACTAGTGATGAAAAAAAAGTATCAAGATTGGAAAGGAAGAAACAGAACTGTCATTATTTTCATATATGATTGTCCACACAGAACTCTCTAGAGTATTTACAGCTAAATTAGTACAATTAATAAGAGTATTTTTTAAGTTATGGAGATTTAATATAGAGCATGGTGACTATAGGTAAAAATATTGTATTGCATATTTGAAAGTTGCTAAGAGAGTAGATCTGAAAAGTTCTCATTCCAAGGAAACACATTTTTTTTTAAACTATGTATGGTGACAGATGTTAATGACTTATTGTGGTGATCATTTTACAATGTATACAAATACTGAACATTATGTTGTATACCTTGAAACTAATATAATGTTGCATGTCAATTATACCTTAAAAAAATTTAGACAGGTCACTGGATATATATATAAGAATCCAGAAGTAACCTGTGAAACTATTTAAAAATATAAAGCACGTGGGAACAGATTGGTAAAAGGATGTAGAAGTCCTCTGGGCAATAAACTGTAAATGTTTATTAAAATATATTTCAAAAGACCTAAATCAGTGAATATCCCAAGTTCCTAGATATGAAACTGATCATTGATTTAATGATATTCCAAAAAAAACCCCAAATCCTAGAAAGATTCTTTATGGGACTTTATGATTAGTTCAAAAATACGTATGGAAATGAAAAGGACTGATAAAGGCCGGGCACCCACGAAGACAGAGAACTACCAGGGAGAGCTTGCACTACAGACTTAGTGTAGCACACACACAATTATGTGTAAATAGACCAGTGCAACCAAACGAAGGTCCCAGAAACACACCTACACGTGTATGGAGAATTGATTTATCACAAAGTAGCCTTGAAGATCAGAAAGGAGGGACTAATTAAAATAAATAGTGCTAGGCCAGTTGGTTATTAACACAGAAAAAATAAAATTAGGCCTGGTCATTACACCACACACCAAAAACCAGTAATGAGGGTGATGGTTAATTCTGTGTGTCAGCTTGGGTGATGGGATGCCCAGATATTTGGTCAAACGTTATTCTGGGTATTTCGGTGAGGGTGTTTTTGAATGAGAATAACATTTAAATTGATGGACACTGAGTACAGCAGACTGCCCCCCATCACTTCAATCAGTTGAAGGCCTGCTATAACAAAAAGAATCTGTGCAAGAGAACATTTTCCAGCAGATTGCCTTCAGACTGGGACTGGAATACTGGCTCTCCTGAGTCTCCAGCAGTGGCCCAATCAGTAGATTTTTGGACTTGCCAAGCCTCCATAATTGTGGGAGCCAATTACTTATAACAAATCTTTTTATAATAAATACACATCCTATTGGTTATGGAGAACCCTCCTTAAGAAACTATGTTTAAAGAACTAATTATAAAAGACATGTCTGAATCCAAATGCATTAGTTCTTCCATTGCACCAAGAATGGTCAGCATTTTGGAAGACAGGATATGACTGGGGCTAAAATGGGCAAGTTCAAGGGTCATAGGATTTTCCACTGCATAAATTATGTAAAAAAACAAGCTGAATAAACATAAGAGGCAGCCGAGGTTATTTGTGTAATGATATCAAAAGGAAGTAGAAATTATAATGGATCAAAAACATTACTATGGAGTTGTTTCAAGTAAGAAGGAATGACACTGAGGTGGATAATACGGAATACAGGATTAAGAAGATCAAAGTTCATGTATTATTCAATTATCGAAAACATTTCCTTGACGCAGAGTATGCCGGGCATGAGGAATACACAAATTAATAAGATATAGTCCTTAATCTCAAGGAATTCAGAGTCGAGTAGGGAGATACACACATAGACATTCATAAAATAATATGATGCAGAAGCACTACTGGGGTCCAGGAGAGGAATGCTGCACTTCATCTGGCTTCCTGATCCCCCCGTTTATTATCCTCCACCCATATCTGTGCCTACTAATCTCGAGCCCTGTTACAATCATCACTGGCATGGAAACACGACATTAAGGGGAACTGAAAGAGGTACCAAGGATTAAGGTGAGCAGAAAATGCAACCGTTGTAAAACAGAGCACACACATTAAGATGAACTGAAATAGGATTATAAATCATGTTGTGAGTTTTTATAGGACAGAGACGAGATTGGAGTGTGCAAAAACACTGGACTAGAAGTCCAGAGACCTTGATTCCATGTCTGATTAGTCCCCTAAACAGATGGAGGATACTAAGCAAGACCCAGAATCCTCCAGCACCTCAGTAATTTTATCTTTGTAAAGATTTGAACCAGACTAATTTCTAAGCCCTTTCCAGTATTAAAGCCCTTTGATTTTATAATTTTCAGGGTGCAAGACAGGGAGGGGGAATTTCAAACTTATCTTATATAGGTAGAGATCGTTCTTTGAAAACGGAAGTTGATACAGCTTCAGAGTCTGAACTCAATTGGTGTTTTGAACAAAATCAGAACTCTCTAGCACTACTATATTATAATACCTGCCACGTCAATCTTGCCGTTGATATAATGGTGAAGCTCTAGGCTAAAATGAAGTGCTCAAGCATCTGGTATTAATGAGCGGATTAGGGATTCAGAGGAGGTTTACCCCTCATTCATATTCAGCTCTGAATGCCTGACAAAAGTGGAGAATCTGTATCTCAGACCCAGGCTTGAGATTTGGCCCTCTGCTGGCCTGGTGACATCCCCTAGGCACATCAAACCTCAGCTTTCTCATCTGTAAAATGATATAATGTCTGCGTCTCCTAGGACAAAGAACTGCTAAGATGATTAAACAGTGCACATCGTGGTGTTTCGTCATGGCAAACTTGTTATTTGTTTATGCTATATAATTAATCATTGTGTGATATCTGCATACACAGTATACCAATTAAGAAATCAGATTTGGCAGTCTGTGTAATATATCAATAATATAAGTAATAAAGAAACTCCAAATGATTTTATTTCAAAAATGGTTCATCAGTACAACATTTCTTATTCTCCCTTTGGAAATCCCTAAAAATGAAAAAGAAAAAGAAAAAAACAAAAACCAAAAAACTACATCTTTGCTGTGGAAAGGTGAAAACTCCTTTCAGGTGTGTGTGAATTCTATACATGATAAAGTCTTTAAAGATGTTAAAACAGAATTTGTGTTTTCTAAGCAAAGCTCTCTTAGAAATAATCCAGTGCTCTAACAGAGTTATAAAGTGAAATCATAATAAACAGAAACAGAAGGAAAATAGTGCTAGATGAAATCTGATGAGATGTAGCGTCAGTGAACCAAAAAAACTACCCGCACAAACACTGAACAACCTCACCCACAAAAGCAATCACTCTAACCCTTCTGTTCTTCATTCAGGAACCAAAGCCTCTATCCTCCCATTACCACAGGGTTATAAAACGTTGACATAAGTTTCAGTTTAGACTCTTAGAACTAAAGAGTGGTCACATGCTCCTTCCCAAAATATTGCTTAGAAATAACTTTGTGGGTGTTACCAATTACTTGATCGAACTGAACTCTAAATGCCCTATAATGGTGATTCGTGAAAAAGGAGATATTCTAGAAAACCGCAGTTATGAAGCAGGTTTGGATGTTTCAAAGGTTCGCTTCTGCTTCCTTCCGTTTTATTAGAAAGGAAGCACGGGGCTTACACTTGGTCCACCTCCGTGCATCTTCAGCGCCCGCACCGTCGCCACCAGCACCACAACACTGGGCACCAAGCCAGAAGCTCTGCACTTGATGTTGAAGAATTTCTCCATGCCAATATCAGCACCAAAGCCAGCTTCAGTCACTGTGGAGAATCAAGTTTGAAACTTGCTGTTATCTTCTAAAAACAACAGTAGCTTTTGACAATCACTGATGTGGTTCAAATTCAAAGGATGACAAATTCTCCTCCACGTTCAAGGTTCCTACACACCACTGCATCCTGTTCATATACAAAGGTAAAAAGACGTTTCCATGGTTTTAGAAAATGTCCTACTTCCTTACATTCCATAAGAAGATGACTCTCTACTCTGCTTCACACCACTGTTCCTTAAGGATTCATTGCCATGGCCAAGATTTTTCTTCCAGTATAGAAGGTCAAGGCAAAGCTTTTCTTAACACAGATGGTATTTTCAACCTTTTAATCAGGTTCCAAAATGTGTCAAAGAACACTGCTAGTATGATTAGTATAGAAGATCTTTCCTTACTCTTTATAAGATACATACAGAATCACTTATTTTTATTCCATCTGGCCATTTCTATTGATGAACAAAACTGAAGTCAGTTGAGCCGTTTAAGGAGGTTGATCGTCAGGCTTGATAATAAGATGGTATCTTTACTTCATAACCACAGAGGACACTCATCTGTAACCATCCTTTCCCCTGCCCCTAAATTGCTAAAAATGTTACTAAGGCAGTTATGGCTATAGCAGGGAGACTATCCAACACTGCCTTCCAAGATAATACTCCTGGGTAAGCAGCAGTATCTTCATACACAAAGCAGAGCTCTGGACCAGCCACATCACCAGCCCCTGGGGGTTTATTAGAAATGCAGACTCTTGGGCTCTATCCCAGAACTATTGAATCAGAACCAGCATTTTGACAAGATCCCTTAGTGAGATGAATGCCCATTAAAATTTGAGAAGCACACTGCTCTAGGGAAGGAATACTATTAATGGACTAGAAATTAAACATTTATGGAATATGCACTACATACTTACAGTACAACCAAGGCCATAATTTATGGCAGAAAGAGGAAGAGGCAGTAAAAAAAATTTACTAAGATAAAATAGAAACCCTTTAAAATGTGAATAAATGAGGATATTTGTCCCCAGCATTCACTGAATATACACATTTTAACAAAAATTAAGAAAAGAAAAACAGAGAGGGCAGACAGACAGCAGAAGCAAGAACTACAATCCTGCAGCCTGTGGAACAAAAACCACATTCATAGAAAGATAGACAAGATGAAAAGGCAGAGGGCTATGTACCAGATGAAGGAACAAGATAAAAACCCAGAAAAACAACTAAATGAAGTGGAGATAGGCAACCTTCCAGAAAAAGAATTCAAATAATGATAGTGAAGATGATCCAAGAACTCAGAAAAACAATGGAGGCAAAGATCGAGAAGATGCAAGAAATGTTTAACAAAGACCTAGAAGAACTAAAGAACAAACAAACAGAGATGAACAGTACAATAAGTGAAATGAAAAATACAAAAAGGAATCAATAGAATAACTGAGGCAGAAGAACGGATAAGTGACCTGGAAGACAGAATGGTGGAATTCACTGCTGCAGAACAGAATAAAGAAAAAAGAATAAAAAGAAATGAAGACAGCTTAAGACACCTCTGGGACAACATTAAACGCAACAACATTCGCATCACAGGGGTCCCAGAAGGAGAAGAGAGAGACAAAGGACCCGAGAAAATATTTGAAGAGATTATAGTCGAAAACTTCCCTGACATGGGAAAGGAAATAACCACCCAAGTCCAGGAAGCGCAGCGAGTCCCATACAGGATCAACCCAAGGAGAAACACGCCGAGACACACAATAATCAAATTGGCAAAAATTAAAGACAAAGAAAAATTACTGAAAGCAGCAAGGGAAAAACGACAAATAACATACAAGGGAACTCCCACAAGGTTAACAGCTGATTTCTCAGCAGAAACTCTACAAGCCAGAAGGGAGTGGCATGATATAGTTAAAGTGATGAAAGGGGAAAACCTATAACCAAGATTACCCAGCAAGGATCTCATTCAGATTCGATGGAGAAATCAAAAGCTTTACAGGCAAGCAAAAGCTAAGAGAATTCAGCACCACCAAACCAGCTCTACAACAAAAGCTAAAGGAACGTCTCTACGAGGGAAACACAAAAGAAGAAAAGGACCTACAAAAACAAACCCAGAGCGATTAAGAAAATGGTCACAGGAACATACAGCTCAATAATTACCTTAACGTCAATGGATTAAATGCTCCAACCAAAAGACACAGACTTGCTGAATGGATACAAAAACAAGACCCATATATACACTGTCTACAAGAGACCCACTTCAGACCTAGGGACACATACAGACTGAAAGTGAGGGGATGGAAAAAGATATTCCATGCAAATGGAAATCAAAAGAAAGCTGGAGTAGCAATACTCATATCAGATAAAATAGACTTTAAAATAAAGAATGTTACAAGAGGCAAGGAAGGACACTACATAATGATCAAGGGATCAACCCAAGAAGAAGATATAACAATTGTAAATATATATGCATCCAACATAGGAGCACCTCAATACATAAGGCAAACGCTAACAGCTGTAAAAGAGGAAATTGACAGTAACACAGTAATAGTGGGGGACATTAACACCTCACTCACACCAATGAACAGATCATCCAAAATGAAAATTAATAAGGAAACACAAGCTTTAAATGTCACAATACACCAGATACATTAAACTGATATGTATAGGACACTCCATCCAAAAACAGCAGATTACACTTTCTTCTCAAGTGCGCTCCGAACATTCTCCTGGATAGATCACATCTTGTGTCACAAATCGAGCCCCAGTAAATTTAAGAAAATTGAAATCATATCAAGCATCTTTTCTGACCACAACACTATGAGATTAGAAATGAATTACAGGGGAAAAAAGCGTTAAAAACACAAACACATGGAGGCTGAACAATACGTTACTAAATAACCAAGTGATCACTGAAGAAATCAAAGAGGAAATCAAAAAATACGTAGACAAATGACAATGAAAACACGAGGATCCAAAACCTATAGGAGGCAGCAAAAGCAGTTCTAAGTGGAAGCTTATAGCTATACAAGCCTACCTCAAGAAACAAGAAACATCTCAAATAAACATCTATCCTTACAACTAAAGGAACTAGAGAAAGAAGAACAAACAAAACCCAAAGTTAGCAGAAGGAAAGAAAACATAAAGATCAGAGCAGAAATAAATGAAATAGAAACAAAGAAAACAACAGCAAAGATCAATAAAACTAAAAGCTGGTTCTTTGAGAAGATAAACAAAATTGATAAACCATCAGCCAGACTCATCAAGAAAAAGAGGGAGAGGACCAAATCAATAAAATTAAAACTGAAAAAGGAGAAGTTACAACAGACACCACAGAAATACAAAGCATCCTAAGAGACTACTACAAGCAACTCTATGCCAATAAAATGGAGAACCTGGAAGGAATGGACAAATTCTTAGAAAGGTATAACCTCCCAAGACTGAACCAGGAAGAAAGAGAAAATATGAACAGACAAATCACAAGTAACGAAATTGAAATCGTGATTAAACATCTTCCAGCAAACAAAAATCCAGGACCAGATGGCTTCACAGGTGAATTCTATCAAACGTTTAGAGAAGACCTAACACCCATCCTTCTCAAACTCTTCCAAAAAATTGCAGAGGAAGGAACACACCCCAACTCATTCTAAGAGGCCACCATCACCCTGATACCAAAACCAGAAAAAGATACTACAAAAAAATAAAATTACAGACCAATATGACTGATGAATATAGATGCAAAAATCCTCAGCAAAATGCTAGCAAACAGAATCCAGCAACACTTTAAAAGGATCATACACCATGATCAAGTGGGATTTATCCCAGGGATAAAAGGATTCTTCAATATACGCAAATCAATCAATGTGATACACCATATTAACAAATTGAAGAATAAAAACCGTATGATCATCTCAATAGATGCAGAAAAAGCTTTTGACAAAATTCAATACCCATTTATGATAAAAACTCTCCAGAAAGTGGGCATAGACGGAACCTACCTCGACATAATAAAGGCCATATACGACAAACCCACAGCAAACATCATGCTGAATAGTGAAAAACTGAAAGCATTTCCGATCAGGAACACGACAAGGATGTCCACTCTCACCACTATTATTCAACATAGTTTTGGAAGTCCTAGCCACAGCAATCAGAGAAGCGAAAGAAAAATAAGGAAACCAAATTAAAAAAGAAGTAAAACTCTCACTGTTTGCAGATGACGTGGTACTATACATAGAGAATCCTAAAGATGCCACCAGAAAACTACCAGAGCTAATCGAGGCATTTGGTAAAGTTGCAGGATACAAAATTAATGCACAGAAATCTCTTGCATTCCTATATACTAATGATGAAAAATCTGAAAGAGAAATTAAGGAAACGCTCCCATTTACCACTGCAACAAAAAGAATAAAATACCTAGGAATAAACCTACCTAGGGAGACAAAAGACCTGTATGCAGAAAACTGTAAGACACTGATGAAAGAAATTAAAGATGATACCAACAGATGGAGAGATATACCATGTTCTTGGATTGGAAGAATCAATACTGTGAAAATGAGGGCTTCCCTGGTGGCGCGGTGGTTCGGAGTCTGCCTGCTGAGGCAGGGGACACGGGTTTGTGCCCCGGTCCGGGAAGATGCCACATGCCGCGGAGTGCCTAGGCCCGTGAGCTATGGCCGCTGGGCCTGCGCGTCCGGAGCCTGTGCTCCGCAACGGGGGAGGCCACAACAGCAAGAGGCCCACGTACCACAATAAAATATATATATATATATACTGTGAAAATGACTATACTACTCAAAGCAATCTATAGATTTAACGCAATCCCTATCAAATTACCAATGGCATGTTTTACAGAACTAGAACAAAAAATCTTAAAATTTGTACAGTGACACAATAGACCCTGAATAGGCAAAGCAGTCTTGACGGGGAAAAACGGAGCTGGAGGAATCAGACTCGCTGACTTCAGACTATACTACAAAGCTACAGTAATCAAGACAATATGGTACTGGCACAAAAA